CTCCACAGGGAACGTACTCAAAATACAGCGAGGCCCTCATGCACGTATTCAACCAGTTCCGCTGGTCCAATGTGGCACTCCTGTACCACAACGTGAACGCTCCCAACTCCGAGAAGAAATCCTGCTTCTTCTGCATCGAGGCTATGTTCCGCGCTCTGCGCGCCAAGATAAACCGGAAGCCGTTCAACAGGGACTTTGATGAGCACCGCATCAGCGAGCAGAGGAGGGAGGATATTGTGGTGGAGGCTTCGAGACACGCGAGGAGTGAGTTGTTGTAGTTGTGGTTGTGGTTGTGGTTGTGGTTGATGTTTGTGGTTGTAGCTGTTGTGGTTGTTGGTGGTGTTGTGGTTGTTTTAGTGGTTTTGTTGTTGGTGGTGTGGTTGTTGTTGTTGTTGTTGTGGTGTTGTTGAAGATGATGATGTTGTTGGTGGTGTTGTTGACATTATTGTTGTTGAAATTGATTATGACGATGATAGTTATGATGGTTATGATGATGATGATGGTGATGTTGTTGTTGTTGTTATTGTTAATGTTGTTATTCTTGTTATTTCTGCTGCTGCTAGTGTTTCTGCTATTATCAATGTGTGGTTAATGTTTTTGTTGCTGTTATTGTTGTTATTGAAGATGTGATTAATATTGTTGCTGCTGATGTTATATATCCTATATTAAAGACTAATCTTTGGAAGCATACATAGGATCACTAAAATAATGAGTTACACAGGTAGCATTGACTACACATTGCTCATTTTGAGACAACGACACCACCCTGCCCCCCACATTTCAGTGTGAGCTTGTCGATTTCATCCCCCGGCTGTCTAGACGTCTCCACGTGCTCCATGTGAGTCTCGGAAAATCGCTCACCCCCCGTCTCTTGAACCGTGTTTCTTAGGCGTGCGTTAAAGTGTGTACGTGTTGTTGTGGAAAATATTAATATGTCAACTTTTACACGTTTTAGTTTTACGTGTATCTTGTAAATCCCCTTTTATTTGTGTGACCCGCTTTAGGCTTACAAATTACATCAAAGAAAACGTATTGGAACCTTAGTTTGAAGTGACTTTTATGAATGGGCTTTTAGATTTTAGATTATGTTGATCGCTTAACTTTTAGACCCGCATGCAACGACTCAGAAAGATTAATAAACAGAGCGATTGATTTTTGGGCCGTTTTAACCGCGGTCAGTGGGTGGTTGGCGGGTGCTCTGGTGTGGTTTGCTTCTTCTTTCCCATCAAACATCTATCGTCTTTATCTCCCCTTTTTCTTTTTTTATGTTCGTTACTCTCTTGTAACACCTCTAATCTTCTGGCGCTCATATGACCTTATGCAGTTGCGAGCGCCGTAAAACATCTACTAAAACTAAACTAATTATTCGTACTGGTTGCATGTTAGCAGTGTCATTAATAATGATAAAATTGTTATAATAACGATTACTGACTGCTGCTGCTGTGGGTGGTTGGCGGGTGCTCTGGTGCGGTTTGCTCCTTCTATCCTATCAAACATCTATCGTCTTTATCTCCCCTATTTCTTTTTTTCCCCGTATGTTTGTGACTCTCTTGTGACATCTCTGATCTTCGGCACTTATATGACCTAATTGTCTTGCAAGTGCCGCAAAATGCTAAACAGAACAAACAAAATATGAAAGTAAACGTGACAGACAACGAGACAGACAAACATACTCAATTTTTCACACTGTAGAAATCTATACGGTGATATTATGATGAGAAAAACATTTTCATGGAAAATCATGGAAAAAAGGGGGTGGGGAGGGGACGGGTGTACATTTTCTTCTTTGTTTCGTGTTTGTTTGTCAAGCCCATTGGTACAGGCAGTGGTCAGAGAGTTAACAAGACGTTGTCGTGTCGAAGGTGCTTAGATGAACCGTTGTTCTGTACTTCTGAAGTTCCGAAAACCCTTGAACTCTTGGCCGGCTCTAAGCCTTGGCCTGGTA